CTTTTTGGAACAGGGTTTTACTGTTCGGGCTGGCCTTTGACTTCAGCCTCCTGAGTGGTGGGATTACATGGGTGTTTTGCACCTGTCAGCTAAAATTATTTCGACGCAGTTTTTTTTCTTTTTTTTTTTTTTTTTTTTTGAGAGAGGTTCTCTTGTGTAGTTGAGGCTGGCCTGGAGCTCACTTTGTAGTTTAAGCTGTTCTCCAATGACCTCCTGACTCAACCTCCTGAGTGCTTGGATTGTAGGCATGTGCCACCACACCTGGTGAGGCAGGGTTTTGCTAGGTTGACCTCAAACTTGCAGGCTTCCTGTCTCAGTTTCCCTGGTAGGAGGGATTATAGGAGTGCTCTGCCATCCCTTCTGGCATTAACCTTTCAGTGCACAAAAGAAGCAAATTTATTTATTATTATTATTATTTTTGCAGAACCAGGGATTGAACTCAGACCCTTGGCTTGCCAGGGAAGCACTTTTCCACTGAGCCATCTCCCCTGGCCCAAAAGGAGCAAAATTAGACCTCAGGAGTGGGAGTTGTCCTGGTCCTCTCTGTGATAAATGTCCATATAAATCAACATGCAAGGCAGAGGTGGATTTGCCCCATGCTGGCTGGGAGCTGTGGACAGAGTTTTCCCAGAAAGTAGGTGGAAGGAGGAGTCCTTCCTTGGTTGGAGGGTAAACAGTGTTCTTAAAGAGTCTGAGGTTGTCCATGTAGACTGCTCTCCTGCCTCCTGGCTGTTCCTAATGCTGTGCCATCCAGATGTTGCCCTGGTTGGGCACCTCTTCCTGTGTCACGCGCCTCCAGGAATATCATCTAATAGGGCTGTGCATTGCTGCAGAAACACTTATTTTCTGGTGTGTTACCGCGTTAGTTATTGGTGCTCACATCTTTCCTGGATTTTTTCCCCCCTCTTTTTGTACGTATATGGCACCAAAGATTGGAAAATAGTTTGCATTTATGATTTGTTTATTTATTTGCATTTATGTTTTAAAATGTAAATTTTCACAGCTTTTGAACGGGGGACAGCAGTCTGTGAGTGAAAGGTAAAG